AGCCGTACATTTAATTCCTACCTGGTAGCTTTTAATTTTTATGAACGTCTGTCAACTAACAGGCTAAACAGTCTTCACAATTTAGTTTTCTTGGTAAACTGAGAACTTGATAACACACACACACACAGACACACACACACACACACACACACACACACTTAAAATGTGCTTCGCTAGCTTTTTCCAGTAGTTTATCACTCACCAGAATTAGACTATCAAATCTACAGACTTAAAATGTCCCGACTAGCTTGTTATCAATATTCATATATAAATATAAATATAAATATATATATATATGCTTCAAAGTACATGACCTCTCACCCTTAGTCAACATAAGTACAGAAGTATCATTAAAGACCTGATACACACATCACACATGCACGCACATCGAGGGCGCTCATGACACCTAACCAATGGCACATATGCCTGGCGGTGACACTTCTCCCACATTCTGTTTCCGGCTGCCAGTGCCCTGCTGACCAGCCCATTTCAAAGGGCGGCCGCAGCTACTGCGCCAGGCCTTGCGGAGGGCCCCCGAGCCTGTGTCCCACCGGGAGCTCGGTCTCCGCTAACTGCACACGCTCCGAGGGCGCCTTGGCACTGCCCCTCCGCAGGCACTGACGGGGTCCCGGAGGTCTGGAAGATGCAGCTCTGCCCACAGCCCACTCTTTGGGGCATCCCTTGCCCGACGCCACCTGCTCTCACGGCAGATGGAGACCGGCCACGCCCAGGGCCCACCGGCAGGTGTGAGGGCGGGGAGAGATCTGCTTCTATGGCATGGGGACTGGCCGAGGACTGCAGAGGAAGCCAAGCGGCCCTGCGCCCACCTCCCCCACGACGCAGCTGTCTGTGCGACCATTACCGAAACTGTGTTCTTACTGGTCCCAATGATATGTCTTCATGAAAGTACATGTTGCCCCGGAAATAAGATTGCCATGCTTTTAGCTTAATTATCAAGAAATGCCCCATCTTCCCACAAAGCCCAAGGTTCCCCAACACGGGTCAATCCCACTCCATAGTCGGGGGAGGAGAGGGGGACGGTGTGGCTGAGACCCGACTGCTGACACAGGCCACCAGCCTGAGAACATCGGTCAGGGCTGGCCGTGGGCACTGGACGCTGGTGAAGAACCTTCCTTTGCGGTGGAAGGAAAATCCTGAAACCGAGAGCGAAATGTGTTTTAGGGCTTTTGAAAGAAAAGTTCTATTATCTGGGTAGCATCAGGTGAGTGAAATCAATCAGCCAGAGGCCGACATACTTAGAATGGCCTCTCGCAAAGGTGAGATATAATGAAACTGCGAAGAGGCCTGTCAAATGCCTGAGAGCAGAACTGGCCCTCAGTAGGACACTTCACACTGAGCAGGGCAGAGGGGAGAAGCCAGGGAGGATACAGGGCAGGAGGAAACTGGGGACATTGGTGAAAAGTAGTGGGCACCGGTGAAGGGGTTGGTGCTGGACTAATATAAGCCTGAAAATCAGAAATATCTTTGTAACTTTGTGATTCAATTGAAAAAAAGGGGGGGAAGGAAAAAAGAAACAAAAAAAAAGAAAGAAAAAGAAAAAAATAAGTAAGTAAAAAAGTTCTATTAGGGAAAAACTGCCCGCATAAAGCACTGTGAATATTCCGAAAGAATCCCAGTCTAACAATAGGGGAGCCAAGGCCACTAGAAAAGTAACTAAGGAAAAGATGAAGAGGAAATGCCTCCAGGATGGAAATGGAGCAAGGCCCACAGAGCCCACGGGGTTCTCAGTCCGGGTCTTGGGGCGTGAAGGAAGAAGCACTCAATGTTGAGGAGGGAGAGTGAAGTCACGGTACCTTCTGAACCTTCTAAAATTAAGTTACTTTGCTTAAATGCCAGCTTTATTTCATGGCAACATCAGAGGCAGAAGGGGGAAAAACTATAGCTGGAATGCCCAAGTGCATATTCTAAGAAGACAGAGCTCTTAAGCTAATTTTTCTATCACGTGCTGCATGCTAAGCTCTGTTAATAACAGTAACAGCGAGGGCTGGTGTGTAAGTTAATGCATCTCAGCAGGGAGGACGCCGTCTAAAAGGTACAGAAGAGGAGGGCAGGACTAAGGAGCTTCCTTCCGAGATTAGGTCTGAGTACGTTAAGTGCAAAGTAAATATTGCAGGTCACGGCCCCACAAAAACACGAGGACACACACTAATTTCCTGGTCAATTGCTTGATGTGGACGAGTGGAGACCTCGCCTGCTGGAGAATGGAACTGGGCTTGCCAGGGTCTGTCCTCAAGAACTTAATGACATGCAAATACAGGCCATCACAGCCTCCAACCACGGAGAGGGGACAAACTGAGGAAATCAGGAACTGGCGGACCAAGGGAGTGTTTCGGTTTCCCGGAACTGAAAGTCAGCTGTGTAAGGAGCGTGCTCAAAGGGAGAAGAGCAGGCAGAGAGAGTCTCACAAACGCTACCAACAGAAGCAAAGGGGCCAAGGAATTAACGACTGCAGAAGCATTCCTGGTGTGTGCGCGTGTGTGCGCGCGCGCGCACACACACACACACAGACACACAACAGGAGCACACACGCAGAGTACAAAGAACAAATCTGCATTAGAACTCAGCACTCCTTTTCTAATGCTAAGGTTCTCTCCGCTTCAAAGGAGGAAGCCTGGTATAATAAATACGAATCTGAAGTGAAAACACAAAACTACAAAACTTCTCTTGCTGGCAACCAAAAAGGAAAAAAAAAAAAAAAGAGGCACTAAAATCTGCAAAAGCCTCAACAGCACACTCAGAGGCGGTAAGACACAGGCCTGCTGTACCGAGACTCAGTCACGTGGAAGAACTCAGACTTTTAATAAAAGTAACACTGAGACAGCTGCGAGGGCCACACGGAATGCCACCAACTGCCTGCACTGTAATTACTTTACACAGTCCAGCAATAGAGCAAGGCAGCATCCACATCCGAGAGAAGCATTTGCTCACCCCAGATATATAAACTTTCCACAAATGAGGCCTGGTGAAAGGACGGGACACGCTCTGCGTTCATCCACACAGCCGACTCGCAGCTGAGCCGCCGGCGGGGAGGGGTGAGTGTGTGTGTTTTTGTGTGTGTGTGGGGGGGGGGCTGCTGGCGTTTATTCAGTAACTGATAAACTCACCACAAAGCCTAGAGGCGGGCTCTCGAAAAGGGCCTACTTCCATTCAATCTGCATCCCAGTTTTCTGGGAGTGACAGAAACAGGAGGAAGTGAACAGCTGAGGGATGTCTTCTTTGAGCAATCGATCCCTAAGGGGGTGAGCAGGCGCAGGGCACAGGCGTTGCACGGCCAAGGACCCGAGTGTGCTCCCTGCCAGTGTCTATTAGGAGTAGCCCACCTGCTCTTGGGAGACAAGCAACGTCAAGAGGGGGCAGGCGGCGAGGGAGGGACAGACAGAGGTTCTCTCCAGGTACACGCAGAACAAATCCAGAAAACTTCCAATGAAGCCCTCGGTTGACATCTGAGACTGCTGACCCCTCCCCATAACCAACAGGAGAGCCCCCAGGGAGGGCCAGCCACCTGCTTCAGGACCAGGACAGAAGGAAGCCCAGCCCAGGGGGCGGCTCTTGGGCAGCTCTGAACACATCATCAACACAGAGAAACCTGCCAGGCCGGGCGGAGCTTGCTGCCTGCCCGCCCTGAGTCTAGTTAAACTCCGGAGAGCATAAGCTGACTTCCACTCACCCCAAGAACACAGCACACCAGGTTCCCATTCTCTCTCTCTCTCTCTCTCTCTCTCTCTCTCTCTCTCCCCCCTCCCTCCCTCCCTCTCTTCCCCCCCTCCCTGCCTCCCTCTCTCCCTCTCTCCTCTCCTCTCCCTCTCCCTCTCCCTCTAAATGAGGTGCTAAAGAAACAACTTGGAAGAGCAGGAAACATTCAATCCATCACCTTCTCATTCCTTCCCAGACCAAGTACCTACTAAGTAGGATAAACATCCTGCCCTGATTAAAAGGAACCACAACAAGGTCACAGTAGAGTGGGTGTTTGCCTGGCACACACAAAACCAGGTTTGACCTCCAGCATCCCCTGAGCATAGCCGGGTGTGGCCCCCCCAAAACAAACAAACAAACAAACAACCACCCCCCCCACCACCACCACAATAAATATCGCTGGCTTCCCACCACAGAAATGAAAGCTATAAAGAAGCTGGGGTTTCAAACACACAGGCAACCCACTTAGAGGCCAGGTCCCGCCCAAGGGAGGGTGGGGGGGACAGACACACCCTGTCGCTTCTCTCCTCCCAAAGGCCCGGGGCGAGTGCTGCCCAAGGGAGGGTGCTGGGCAGGCCGAAGGCCACACAGGACACTCATTACAGATGTTTCTTCTCAAGAGTTCAGAAGAAATAAGAGTACATTGAGTCAATGTAAACACATCTGGCCGTCAATGAACCAGCTCCACATTCTCGAGGATTTTGCCTGCAACACCCTGTCACTATCTTTGCTCCCTCCATAAGCATCCCGGCCACAGGGCAGCATCTGCCGCCGGAAGTGCTCGTCAGGTGACCTTTCCAATTTGAGACCACAATACTTTCCTTCGGCTGAAAAATGACGAGAGGTGATTTCTCATTACTTCCAAGTCCCCAAAGAAATGGAAGCTACCACTTGCCGCTTGCTTCCATCACTTACGCCCGCTGCCACACACAACTTTCTCTGCGGTCCACTCTTCACCTGCACACCTCTCCCGGAAGCACCAGAAAGCAGGAGACTGCAACACGCGTGGCTGCACGCACGAGGCCATCCCCCGGCCGCCAACCGGGCAGGCCTGCCAGCAGACGCCTGCACTCAAGAGGCCGCGCACAAGAGAGCCAGCGAGAGCCACCGGGGACCCGTCCACTTCACACGGTAACACCCTCAAGGTACCGACTCGCAAATGTCTCCGTACTAGAAACGGAGTCCTGATACAACTCCCCCAAGTCCTGATACAAAGCGGCGCCAACGAGAACGAGAGCTTCTTTAGCGGAAGCAGAGCCCAGTGCGACAGCGCGCGAGTGTCTTACTGGTAGACTGGATGGTCTTTCCTGTTGGATTAAGTTCAAGTCTTCGTGGTTGGGCTTTCCGGGAGCCAGTGGAGGTTGAGACCTAGTTCCATAGCCTTCCTGAGACATGTCCTAAACGAACACAAACAGAGAGCACATCGTCAATCAGTGGGGCAGCAGTGACCAGATGAAGCAAAGGTACATCAAAAACTCAGTTTCTTACATTTAAATAGGCACATGAATATACCACACATGCACGCGGGCGTATCCGTATACACACACATATGCATATGTATGTTAAAGCTTTTGCTTCTTCAGCATTTCATAAAAGGTGAAGGCAAAGAAAAAAAAAAAACAGCCTAACAGTACAAAGTAAATACCAGAGCCGAGTTTTGTAGGATGGGGACTAGCTAGGGATGCGATGGGTCAGTAAGAGCCAAACTCGTTCAAACCAGAGCAAACCCCAAGTTCAGCTCGGATTCCGGCTGACCTGCCTCTACTATTACCTGGATGAATGACATGACCGCGATCAAGGCCAACACCACCGGCTTCTCTCATGCCCGCGTAACCCACAGAGCGTGGTCACGACGCTCGCGGTAGCCAGGGGTCCCGAAGGGCCAACAAAGGCCCCTGTGTAGAATTCCACGGTCACCGGGCGCCGTTCCCTAGGAGACCCAGGGACCAAGGAAGATCCCTGGAGTCCCCGTGCGGCTCTTCCCTGGCACGTCCTGCCTGGCTTCAGTACCAGGAAGGAGGGTCACGGGGCAGAACCCAGGGCCAACGGCAGACGCACTGGGGGCCGGAGGTGTGACTGCCGAGCCCTGCCCAGTCCCACCGGGGCAAGACGAGGAGCGCTGCTCACGGAATGCCAGAACGAGCCCCCCAGGGGGTGGGGGTAGCAGAATCTATCTCTGAGTGGCACACGGAGAGGGGACAGAAGAGTTGTCCTCAAAAACGAAATGCCCTCCTGTATGCGGGTGCTGAATTAAAGAGAGACCCTATACAAGCTCGACTTGTCCCGTTAGAGCCTCAAAACAGGACTTGGGAGAGGAAGCGCCGTCAGCTCTGAGGCCCGTTCTGAGAAGCGGCTGCGGTGGTCCCCTGCGCTCACACAGACACACGGGGCATCGCACGGTCTCCGCGGCCACTGGCCGGTCCCACGGCACCAGGAGCGATGCCCACTGCTGAGCAGTCCCGGGGGAGGGGGTGCCCACATCTACACGAGCTGGGCCCATGCTGGCTGACGACAGTCACCTGTGCCCAGGCTGGCGCCCCGTCTTCGCTGAAGCTCCAACTCCGGGACCACATCCCGCACAGGCGTGGCCAGGGGGCCCCTGCAGGGCGACCTGTGGGGGACGCGTCTCTCCCTGGCCCTCTCCCCCGCCCAGCGTCCACTTGCCGCCTGGACCCCGCAGCTGACCAGTGGGGCACAGAGCTCCAGCCAGTGGCCTCCGCTTGGTCACCCGGGCCTCAGGAAGGTACCGGCCGGCTTTAGAGGGGAAGGGCCCGGCTTAGTCCCACAGTACATCCTGAACCTGGGCGCAGCAACCCACTCTGCCTATCACCCTCATGGCGCAACCCGATGACCTGAGGCTTCACTGAGGGGGTGGAGGGACCCGTCACAAGCACCAGGACCCACGAACACATACAGGGCCCCAGCAGCAGCCCGCAGTCTCGCTCTGACCGTCCGCCTCTCAAGGGAGGCTTTGAAAAGAAAGGCCCCAAATGCATCGACGCCACCCAAGCTGCAAACCCCCTCGGCACCAAAGTCATCAAGTGCGGTTGGGGACGAAACCTACGCGGAACTGTGGGTGGGTGGGTAGGTACGCAGGGGGATGGGGCTTGCCCAGGCGCGTGTTTGGACAGAAGGATTCACTCCGAGGGCAGTGGGCGCTCTGACCCCCGGGGACGGGGCCGCCAGCCACGTGGGGTGGCCTGCAGTGTGTGTGGGCTTCCCATTCTAGAACTTTCTGCATTTCCTGGGATGTGCTTATTTCTACCCCCAAGAAGTACCTGAGGGAATCAGCCATCTAAGTGATGAGGGAAACCGGGGTGCGTGCACCCCGCAGCCCATGACGCAGGAAAGGAGAGGGGGTCCCCAGCACACACATCCCAGCGGTCCCAGCCTGCTCCCGGGCGCTCCCCACCCCTCTCAGACACTCATGGGCCGCTGCCCTTGCTGACAAGGGCTGTCCAGGTGGGGACGGCAGCCGTGGAGCTCAGAGACAGGCGGGCCACCGCTTCCCTGTCCCTCACCTAAACCCTGCCTGCAACCTTCCCTGTGTCAGAGGTGAAGGGGGAGGGGAGAGGGTCCGGGGAAAGCACCGGGAGCACAGAGGAGGGAGCACGGACAACACCCAGGACGGCGCTGCCCTGGGACTTCCTCCACCAAAAGCGTTAAAGGCTGTGGGGCGCCCGTCAGGGACACTGTCTGGGCCGGGGACTCCCTGTCGCCCAGGGCAGCGTGGCCAGGAAGGAGAACAGAGGGAAGGACGAGACCCAAGGACGGTGGCTCCAGGAGAAAGGCCAAGAGCATAAGTGCTTCTGTTTTCTTTTATTACGAAATGAATTAAATATTATTATGGCAACATAAGACACTTGGAGAAAGTGCGGTACAAAATGTCAAGGACACTTTGAAAAAATAAGTCACGAAGTTTGGGAAAGAGTCCTATAATGCAAGTCCCCCAGACCTACGAGCAACAAGCAGCGCAGACGCCCCCTCCCACGGGCTCCGGCCTGAGGGGCGCTCCCCCAGGCTGCCTGTGGGGATGGGCTGAGGACCAGCCCCAGGACACTGAGCTCGGCTGTGCAGGCTCGGGTTCAAGTCCCAGCACAGTCCACGCTCGGTCACTGCACCCACACACACACACACACACACATGCTCCCCCATCACTCAGCAGAGCTCATCCTGCAGTGTCCCAAATGGCCACTCGGCTCGCTGTCACACTGCCTGGTGCTACCTGCCAGGCTCTGCTGCTGGCGTGCACTGGGATGAGCTCTCAGGTACTCGCACAGTGCTCTCAGGTACTCGTGCAGTGCTCTCAAGTACTCAGACAGGCTCACAGGTACTCCCATAGTGCTCTCAGGTACTCAGACAGGCTCTCAGGTACTGCACAATGCTCTGAGGTATTCAAACAGGCTCTCAAGTACTTGCACAGTGCTCTCAAGTACTCGCACAGTGCTCTGAGGTACTCAGACAGGCTCTCAGGTAACTCAGGTATTCAAAAGTGCTCTTGTGTGTTCAGTGCGCTCATGGACTCAGACAGTGCTCTCACATACTCAGACAGTGCTCTGTGTGAACAGTCACTGCACAGGTGAGCAATCAGTGCTCTGTCCTGCATGCTTCAGAGCTTAATAAACGTCGGCTATAGTTGAGGGCACTATCTGGATGCTCCTGAAAGAACATGAATTTTTTTACTGCACACAACACATCACAAAAAAACAAAAACAACAGGTGTTGGCATGGATTAGGGGAAAAGGAACCCACTGCTGGTGAGAATGTTGACTGGTCCAGAGCTTTTGGAAAACATTACAAACTCTTCTCAAAAATCTAGGAATTGAGCTCCCATCGGACCCAGCAACCCCAGTTCCAAGCATCTACCCTAAGGGTCCAAAGACTCACCAGCATTCCTATGCTCACTGTAGAGTGCACTGTTCACAATGTCAAAGTCTGCAAACAACCTGAGTATCCAGGAACAGATGCTGGATCAAGACACTGTGGTATAAATCCACAACAGAATACTACTTCACTATGAGAGGAAAGAAGGTAGGAAGGAAGGAAGGAAGGAAGGAAGGAAGGAAGGAAGGAAGGAAGGAGGGAGGGAGGGAGGGAAAAGGAAGGAAGGAAGGAAGGAAGGAAGGAAGGAAGGAAGGAAGGAAGGAAGGAAGATGAAATCAGGTAACTCAGTGCTACATGAATGGGCCAGGAGAGTCTTGTGCTGGGGAACAGGAGTGGCACAAAGGCGACCCCCAAATCTGGGCACAATGAACGAGGCCCATTCCAGCTGAGTGGTGCCAGGCCCGGGTGCGTGTGTGCACGCGCGCGCATGCGTGTGTGTAAATTGGAAGCCGCTGTCCATGGCAGATGGCGGGTCCACCACAGGGAGGACACTGAGGGTGGCGCCGAGCGGAGGCGCCGTGTGCCAGGGTGGACGTGGCCAGCAGCATCACCCTCCCGGGAGCCTGGAGCCCACAGAACCCAGGGGCCAGGCCCAGCTGACGCTCCTGAGGTCCCCCAGCCGGAACCACCTGGCCCCGCCCCCAGCAGCCCGACACCGGGGCCTCCTGGGCACCAGGCCTGCTGGGCCTCAAGCTGCACGGCCCAGACGAGGAGGCCAGCACTGACACCTCGGGAGTGGGTGACCGCAGAGTCCCAGTGCCTGGGTCAGTGAGAGCCAGAGAACTAGTGCAACCCCGCGGGATCGGGAAAGACCACCACAACCATTCGGAAGAAGCGTGACCAGAGACATGGACAGCGGGGACAGGGCTGACCCCGTATACGGCCAACTCGGATTCCATCCCCACCACACACGGGGTCCCGAGTCCCGCGGAGTGACCCCCGCTTGATCCCAGAGTGATCCCTAAGCGCAGAGTCGGGAGTACGAACAGAGCAACACAGGGTGTGTCTCCAACCCCCTCCTCGCTCTCACTCAAAAAATAAACAGATGAAAGCAAAGACAAACGAGGGCTGAGGGTCCCAGGACCCCTCCAGCTCCTGTCTCAACCCCACAGAGATTCCGCGTCGCACGGGACCCCCTGTGTTCTCCCGCTTCCAAGAAGTGGCCAGTGAACTGGGGTCAGTGCGGTGGGAGGAGGCCGGGGGCAGCTCGCCAGCCCCTGCACACTCCAGGTACAGCTGCGAGTCCAGTGTGCAGGGGACAGTCCTGCTCACACATGCCAGTGCAGCAAGGCAGTCCCTGCCCATACCCGCCGCCGCTGCCGGCATCTGCAGATGAGCTTCTGGAATATTCCATACACAGAACATGCTACTCACAGGCCCCATGGAGAACCTTAATGCTAGGCACGCATGCGTGGGCGCGCCCGTGTGCGTGTGACTCTCATAGATAGACAGACAGACGGACAGACAGACAGGGTTTTCCTTTCCAGTCCCCACTCTGACACACCGAAGCAGG